ACTCATATATGAAACAGAATGAAATGTAATGCAACAAAAATGATTCACAGGATTAAACTAGGAAAAAGCAAGACGAATTGACAACTTATTCGATGCTGTATACAAACGACTGGAAGAAAGCTCAAATTTGAGTCAATTCATGATTATGATAATTTATAGTAACAATGAGGATACTAACAAAAATAACACGATTAACACGTAATAATAGCATAAATAGTGAATAAACACATGAGATATGTACAATCATGAGGGTGTGGATAAAATAGAATCGATCATGAACGATTGATTTGGGGTGAGAGTTGGAAGTGGTTTGTGGAATTCGATGAGTTTAGAGTTGAGATATTGAGGTAACATTAATAGATTAGATGTTTGATTAGTACTGAGAGCATTCATCATATTGTTGTTGCTGGTGTTGTTGTGATTACCTATGGAATATGGTCTGTCAAACAGCGGTGATACCGGATCAATGAGCTGTTGGGATAATAGACAACGATTCGCGAGCATCCACGGTAATCCAGGACGACAAGAGAGCGAGAGATGCTCTGAAGGAAGGGCTGTCTCCAGTTCGTCGTTATTTCCACAAAATTGATTGACCTTGAAGATCGCGTTTGTCACTATTAATAGTGGTATTTCTAATATTGTATCTATATCCATTTCTAATATCAATGCTTTCTTTGATGTTATTATCAGTGCCATAATTATTACTAATTTTAATAATGTCAATGATTTCATTATTATCACATAATTATCAACGTCGTTAAATCCTCAGCATCGATACCTTCCATTATTGAATAACGATTTTCATGATTATCACTAGTTGTATCGAATCGTTATCAACGATATTTTGATCAGCATTGATATGATCAAATACTGATATGATCAATTTGAATAATTCTAATGGATTTATCTTCCAGCAATGAGTTTATAGGAGGAGTTTATTCAAAATTATGATTTGTACTTTAACTACTCACTAACAATAAGCAAATAGTCAATGTCAGCTGAGAACACTAACCTTAAACCTCTTCCGTCTCCTTAAGCAACTACCGTTTTCAAACATTCCAACGGCCATCGGATGTACTGCCCAATACGATCCTTTTCCGGGCCTATCCGGCCGCCTCGGTATCTATGAGATTGAAAGGATCTGATTTAAAAAAGAAAAAACTGTGGGCGACTAACATCAGTGATAAGATCGAATAGAGAATTTTTCATCAAAAACAGAATTTGAATTTCGTATTTTTAACGTTACACAGTTGTAAATAATTTCGGAGAGTCACATCTGAGAATATTGAACTGTTCAAGACGATAGACAAAAAGTGTGGTAGCATGCTCAATCGACTACTCACTTTAACAAAGCAATCGTTAAATGACAAATTGTGTCTGAGTGAATTCTGCCACCGTTGCGTGTTCTTACGATAGAACGGGAATTTATCCATTATGAATTTGTAAATTTCAGTCAGCGGTAACATCTTCTCTTCAGAATTCTGTATTGCCATATAAGTTAGCCATATGTATGAATACGGCGGTTTCTGAAATGAAAAACGCAAATCTCTGGTTTGGATGATATGAAGATCTCCAGAAGAATAGGGTCATTCTTAACTAACTGCTAATCAAAAGACATTATCAGAGTGTTTGACGATGAATAAGTGTTCGAAAAAAATTACTCACAGTCAGTCAGATTCAACTTTTGAACTCGTATAAAAGCTCAAGCTTTGAAAATTCATAGTCATATTCGCTGGAACAATAATTCGAGCGAATCTCATTCATGTGCTCACTTGTGAAAGTAAAAACTAAAGTAAACAAAGTAAAAAAATTGAACAAACAAACAACTGCCCATGNACAGGAATAAAACATACTTGATCCTCATAAGAGTTCTTGCCTGGTCTGGGCATTGTGCTGACTACAAGCACTTATTAAATGCACCGAATAATACTATTAATATGAAATCGCCAGAGATTAGAGTTGAAAAAACTTCAGGTAGTGAATTAAATTTTGACCGAATCTATTCCGTATTTGAAAAAATATCCGGAATAGTCAACAAAAGGCTTTGAAACAGTAAATAGGAACACTGTGCAAATGCGAAAATACAATAGATTACAGTATCTTCTGGTTTGTAGAATCGAAATCGGATGGACTTATCACTTGACAAACACGAAAATCAACAACAAAAGCC